CGGAGTTTCAGGTTTGCAAGACCACAAGAATTTTGGAGATGGCTGGTGCTGGTGGTGCTGGTGGCACATCATTGTCAATGTACTTAATGTCACTAAACTGTACATTTAAAAATGGTAAATTTTATGTTATGTGGGTTTTACCACAATTTTTTAAAAAAATACTGTAAAAAGTTGGTCACAGTAGTGCACACCTATAATCCCAGCAGCTGGGGAGGCTGAGGCAGGAGGATCACAAGTTCAAAGCAGCCCCAGCAAAAGCGAGGCACTAAGCAACTCAGTGAGACGCTGTCTCTAAATAAAATACAAAATAGGGCTGGGGATGTGGCCCAGTGGTCAGTGCCCCTGAGTTCAATCCCTGATACCAAAAAAAAAAAAAAAAAAAAAAAAAAAACCTGTAAAAAGAAAAGCCAATTTGCAACCTTTCCTACCGAAGTTGATCAACAGGGAGTTGCCACCACGTCCTCATCTGTGATCACAGATGCTCACCTGCAATCCAGACACTTGGGAGACTGAGACAGGAAGATCACAAGTTCAAGGCCAACCTGGGCAACTTATCAAGACTCTCAGCAATGTATCAAGATCCTGTCTCAAAAAACAAAAAGGACTAGGGATGTAGCTCAATGATTATTGTTTTAAAAAATAGGTTTATGCCACTTGGGTGGACATCTAATCATCAGTCCACGAGCCATGACCTGCCATAAACTGCCGCAGTTTTCTGTGGAAGCAGCCTCAGGGAATGGTGTCACCAGCCAGCCAGGTGTGCAGAAGGCACACATGAGACATTGCTTAGGCACTTCACCAGTAGCACCAAGGATGCACAGGCATGTGCCCAGCCTCAGAGAGCTTCAGTGTCTCTGTGGGTGTAGGGTCACTTTCAATCTTACAAGTATGTCAAGAGGGCTCCAGAAATCAGGTTTGCGGTAATGTGAACATCAAAAAGAAAAGTATAGACGGAATGATAGGGTTGGTGACACATCTGTTTCAACCCCTGATGTAATAATTCATCCAAGAAAGGATCGCCGGTGATTGCCAAGTCACTGAGACAAAGGATGTGGGAACAGGATATTCACAGTCTCAAGGTGTCATCTCACAGGTTCCTGGTTAATTTCACAGGGAAGGTGGTACCTTCAAAATGGAGAGGTCTGGTGTCACCACCGTAACCAAGCTTTCAAACCTCGCTTTGCTGGGACAGATTGGCGATGTCTGTAACTCCTGATGTGACAGTAAGACAGATTGAACATCACTTCTGTGGTTTTCTTGCCCACATTGACCTGTACCTCACCATGAGGAAACCCATCTGGCAAATCCAGAATAGCCTGGGTTCTTCCAAAGTCGATGAGACCAAAAAATGAGACTGAAAAGATATAAAGACTCCATGTGTGAACCTAGTTTGGATCCTAGATCCTAAAAACAGGTTGTAAAAGGCATTTTCTGTACCTTGGAAAAAAGAAAGATGAACTGAACTGAATATCAGAAGATGCTGTAATTAATGTCGTTTCCTTGGAATTGCCGATAGTATCATGATTCGTAGGAAAATGTCCTCAGGAACAGATGCTGACATGTTTGGGGTGCCATATCATGTCTGCATGTTCACCAGCAATGGTCCAGAGGAAGCAATATTTATATACAGCATACACACAGAGACTCAGAACCAGTGTGGCTGAGTGTCCACAATTGGGGAATCTGGGTGAAGGGTCATAAGCACTCATTCTAATCTTCCATCATTTCTACGGATGTGAAGATTTTCAAAATGAAAAAGGAAATCAGAGAGAGCCAGTGGCCATTTTCTGACTGAGAAAGACTCATACTTCTGTCCCCCTTCTCTCCCAGGGGACCGGCCTGAAGACTTGCAGGCATCTGTCGTCTGCAGACTGTCGATAAGGAGGAAGCAGCTGAGGAACTGTGTTGGTGGTGGGAGCACTGGGGACAAAGGCTCCTGGTCCTGGGAGGGAGGGGAGGAAAGTCTGCAGGCCACGTGCAACATTAAGGAACTCATAAAAATCTTTTCTGGCTGCGAAATGTTTGGGGCTGGGAAATAGTCTCTAAGCTGGGGTCAGCCAGGGCAGAGGAAGAGCAGGGACTCCAAAGTGGCTTCTGGGTAGAAGCTGGGTTCTCCCACCCTGGGAAGCCTAGAGGAGCCTATCTGGAGGGTTCCGCTGCAGGGCCAGTATAAAGCACAGGCCTCTTCTGGGTGCTGGGTACTTGCAAAGTACTCTCCATTCCGCGTGATCATTTCCTCTTCACATGGGGTGTGTTCCTACATTACAAACAAATAAAACTGCCCGTATAATTTAGAGCTGTTAGGTAGGTCCAGAGCAAACTCATTGAAGATTCAGACCCAGCTCTGCCTGGCTCTGGCTTGCAGAGGTGGGGTGGGGAGCAGGGCAGCCTCCCCAGCAGGGGGGAGGACCTGGTAAAATGAGATTCCTCAGTAAGCCATGGCCCTTCCATTGGAGGGTAATCCTCTTGGGCCTGATAGCAGAGTTCTGAAAGGTTTGAAAAGCAGGGAGGAGGAGGAAACTAATCTGATTGAGCACATCTGCCGCGTGGGTGGGTCGCCATAGATTGCTAGCTGCCAGCAATACCCTACAAGGGTCTTAATGCCACCCCCAGCACAATAGGCCTCACTGTGAAGAAAAAAGAGATCATGGGGCTGGGGGCATAGCTCAGTGGTAGAGCACTTGCCTAGCATATGTGCATACAACTGAAGTTGCCTCAGCTGTTCAGCACAAGGTTCAGGAACACCTGGGCAATTTAGAAAAAAAAAAAATTCTTCCTTTTAAAATTGCACAATGAATATAGGGTTGTTGGAGAAAAACAGACTATAAGATCATTAGAGAAATTCAAATCACCCAAAATACCACTATCCAGAAATGAGTGACCGTTTGTTCACAGAATAAACTGGGCACCTGCTTGGGCGCCAGGCACTGCTGGAAAGTGAAGGCAGAGCAACAAACGGGCCAAACCCATGAAGGTAGGAACCAGAGGTCTTAGAAGCCAAGCTGGGACCAGCCGTTCATGTTAATACCTATAACAAGTAATCTGAACATGAGAAGTGCTAAGATGATGTTTAGTGGCCTCTGCCCTGATTCCTGAGGGATCCTAGATGGGGTAGGTGAGGGGTCAGTTTCACATGGCTGTGTCCTGCCCCTGGGGTGGGAATGTTGGGCGTGAGACTTAGAAGCCACTAGTGACCGGATCCCAGTGGTGCACAGGGCTCTTCCCCCGGGCAGCTTGTGGTTCCCCCGCCCCACTGCCCAGAAGTGCAAGACCAGAGAAGGTGTGTGATGGGGGCAGCGCCCTTCCGCTGACTGTGGAAGGGGCTGGAGGGGCTGTGGGAGGAGGTGGGACACAGGCTGTCAGTCTCTGCCCTTCCCTCTTTGGGACTTGTCACTTGCTCATCTCCTAACCGTGTCAGACCAGAGCTTCCTGTGTCGACATTCTCACTTGGTCGCTGTTACTGGGCACACTAGAGAACACAGAGCCTGGCTGCCCGGAGGCCTGTTTCATTTCGCAGTGATAGCCTTTGAGTTCAGGAATGGGTTGTTTCTCTTGTAGAGCAGCCTGTGGTTGGCATTGCCTTATCTCTTGAAAAGTTCCAGAGGCTGCTGGGAACTGGGTCAGAGGCCCTTGCAGTTGTGAGCAGGTGCACAGAGGCTTTGTTTGCTGTTCCCTTTGAGGTCCACCGGGCCGCCCACCACCTTTCTGACATTGCCTTAGCTGCTTTGCACCCCACAAGGCTGAGCTTGGAGGCCACAGGTGGCCAGACTGTGAGCAGGCCTTTGAGGGGCCCGACACTGATGTGGGAATGGGAGCTTCCAAGAGGCAGTGACTTGGCAGGTGATGGGCAGATCAGGGTTGGCCCAGTGGCGGGAATGGGGAAGGGCATTCCAGGAAGGGGAACTGTCATGAGCCCCCCCTACACACAAACACAGCCCCTGGACCTTGGCCCTTGGTACATGAGGAGCCTCTGTGGCTCCTGGGAGCTGTTCACAACTGATAACAACCAAGAATGGATAGGTCAATGCTTCTGTTTCCCAAAACTAGGGTGGAGTAACCCAGGGACAGTATTTCAGATAGTTTCGAAGAAATCTTCAAGGGTCAAGCTCCAGCTGCCCACAATGGTGCTTGCTAATATGCCCTCTGAGGCTTTTTCCCCCTTCCTGCTTTCTCTTCCAACCTATCAGTCTTTCCTGGGCTCACCTTCTGAGCCAGCAGTTTCCAAGGCAACCCAAGCTCATACCCACATAGAGAATGCAGAGGGGCCGTTGAAGGGCTTTTCTACATTGGGAGGGAACAAAGTCAGATTTGCAAGGTCATTCTCACTGTGGCTTGGAGGTTGGATAAGTGAAGGCCATTCAGGGTGTTGGGGAGCACCTATCCCCCAGAGCTTGACCTGACTGATGTTGCTGGCTGCTCTCTTAGGTCCCAGACACCAGTCTGAGCATTCGGTGTGTGTTTTCTCATTGAATGTACAAAAGCCTTATGAAGTGTAGGTTCCATTTTATAGATGAAGAAGCGGAAACCGAAGTATAGGTTCCATTTTATAGATGAAGAAGTGGAAACCGAACGTGGTGTTGCACGCCTATAATCCCAGCTTCTTGGGAGGCTGAGGCAGAAAGATCACAAGTTCAAGGCCAGCCTCTGCAACTTAGTGAGACCTTGTCTCAAAATAAAAATTGTTTTTTTATAAAAGACTGGCAGTGTAGCTCAGTGGCAGAACACTTGCCTAGCATATGCAAGGACCTGGATTCAATCCCCAGTACAAAAAAAAAGGAAGCTGAGCCCCAGAGAGGCTGAGACCCCTTGGCCATGATCACAGCCGGAAGCAGAGGCTTGAGGAGTCAAGTCCAGGTTTGGCAGACCTGGAATGTGCTTTTAAAACCCATCAGAAGTCCAGCCTCTCTGCTTTCTTTCCTCCCTGCCCAAACTCTCCAGGTGCTGTAAGATGGCCTTTCGATTCCTGTGTGTCAGTAACATCTGCTTCTGCTTCCCTGTAGGTAAGTTTGAGGACAGGGAAGACCACGTACCCAAGTTGGAGCAGATAAACAGCACAAGGATCCTGAGCAGCCAGAACTTCTCCCTCACCAAGAAGGAGCTGCTGAGCACAGAGCTGCTGCTCCTCGAGGCCTTCAGCTGGAACCTGTGCCTGCCCACACCTGCCCACTTCCTGGACTACTACCTCTTGGCCTCTGTCAGCCAAAAGGACCACCACTGCCACACCTGGCCCACCACCTGCCCCCGCAAGACCAAAGAGTGCCTCAAGGAATACGCCCATTACTTCCTAGAGGTCACCCTGCAAGGTGAGGGCAGCAGAGGTGGCTGGGGTCCCCACCACACATACACAGGGCTGGGATCAGAAGGCGCTGAAGGGCATGTCCATCTAGGTCTGCGTGTAGAAGAAACAGCAGAGGCTTCTGGAGAGGCATCTGGTCCCCAGCAAACTACAGCTCAACCCATAATCTGCTTATGGTAACCTGAACATTGCAGATGATTCGAATAGCACAGAGTCACAGCTCAGTCATCCCCAAAGAGCTTCACTATACAGTAGGATATGAGATGGGAATTGTGTTTACATCTGTTTTAGCAATAAAGGTTACCCAGTTTGGGGACCCCTACTTGAAACTCCTCTCTTCACAGTGTCTTAGAATGTAGGTGTGAGGTGACATACCAATCAGAAATAATGCAGATAAAACCGCTTGATCACCTACCACACACTCGATCACCTGCCACAATCCAGAAAGATCATGAATGGCAGTATCCATGGTCCTGATATCAAGCATGAATTGAGTGCTTACTGTGTGCAGACTTGTTGGTCCAGAGCTATGCACACATGATCTCATTTGAACTTTACAGTGACCTCACACAAGCATCATTGTAGAAGTGAGGAAACTGATATTTAAAAAGTGACCTAACTTGGGGCCAGAGTTTTGCTCAGTGGTAGCGCACTTGCCTTGCATGTGTGAGGCACTGGGTTTGATTCTCAGCACTGCATATAAATAAATGAATGAAATAAAGGTCTATCAATATCTACAAAAATATTTTTTTCTAAAAAATGACCTAACTTACCCAAGATCATTACTAGGATTTGAACCTAGGAGCCTGACTCCACAACTGTGCTTCTAACTAGAATACCTCCCTAACTGACTGATACCTAAAAGGTGAAAGTTCAAGTAAGTGAAAGTCAAGAGCAATTTAAGACAACATAGGAAGGCACTGAAAACCAATACCATTCATGAAAACTGTAGGAATTTCAGCTGTTGGCCTTTGTATAAAACATAGTATCAGCTTTGCTCTGTTGCCGGCTATCTTAGTAGGACATGAGATTTCTCAGTAAACCTAGGGAAGGTGCCCATTGTAGTTATAAATATCAAATTCCTGTAGCAGTTTATTCATTCACTGAGCACCTACTGTGGATCAAGCATTGTTGCTATTACTAAGCAGCCTTCAGTCATGCCCTAAAACAGAGTCCTTTGAAATGGTGTGTCATTCACCCATGACAACTAAAACAGGACAGATGAGTTACAGTTCTGTTTGTAGCCCATCAGCCAGCCCCATGTGGCCCCACAGGACTCATGGACAATAATTTGAAAAATCACTTGTCTAAGCTAATCCCCCAAACTGAGAGCAAAGGTGTCTTTGGGGAAAAAAATATTTATTAATGGAACTTCATGTTTTTCAAGTTTTTATCCTATTTATAGAGCATCGGTGAATAGCCTTTGAACTGATTCATTTGTCTGCCAGTTCTCAGAACAGGCACAGGACTCCAAGGGTGCTGACTCCCTCTGGGATTCTCTTTCAGATCATATATTCTACAAATTCCAGCCTTCTGTGGTCGCTGCAGCCTGTGTTGGGGCCTCCAGGATCTGCCTGCAGCTTTCTCCCTACTGGACCAGAGACCTACAGAGGATCTCAAACTATTCCCTGGAACATCTTAGCACATGTATTGAAATCCTGCTGGTGTAGGTTCCTCTCCTGATCTCTGTGTTTCTTAAAAAATTGAGGTTCCACTTGCCCTTGAAGCCCACCTCAGGGCATGGAGGATTTCCTGAGTCTAGGGCCTCACCTACTGTGTCTCCTGATAGAAGAGAGGGTTAGGGAATTGCCCCTTTCTATTTGGGGTAGCTTTGGGTTTGCGTTTTTAAGATCAAGGAGCAAGGGAGAAGAGAGGCTGGGTGCCCCTCCTTCTGCACACCTGGGCTGCTGGGCACAGTGGTGCACGCCTTTAATCCCAGTGACTCTGGGGCCCGAGGCAGGAGGATCACAATTCCAAAGCCAGTCTCAGCAACTTAGTGATGCCCTGAGCAACTTAGCAAGACCCTGTCTCAAATTTTAAAAGAATAATTAAAAGGACTGGAAATGTGGCTCGGTGGTTAAACACCTCTGGGTTCAATCCCCAATACCAAAAATAAAAATTAACATCTGGGCTCTTTGATCTAAGCCCAGTGTAATCTTATGGATAATCACACTGAGGGGCTTTTACAAGCTACTTTTCTCAGAAATGGCTGTGAAACTGACCTATCCAGCTAAACCCCAAGTGGCTTTACCTAAGAAGCTACAGCGTCTTTACAAGGGCCCCTGGGAATCTTGGGGAAGAAATGTTTGGTGTATCAGAGGACATGCTTAACGGCATCTTGGATCCTGCATTGTGAAATGGATATTGGAGTCCAAAGAGGTCCATGGGGACCTCAGGGAGGAGGGCAGACAGGACAGATCCTGCGTGGCCACCCCCAGTGCACTCCCTCTTGCACCCAACAGGTGGCGGTACATCTTGGATGTAGACCTGCATGGTGACAGCAAAATTCCTCAGGTCCCATGCTTGGCGGGTGGCTACCTGCTCTCTAAATTGTCAGTCCTGCTCCCTAGGCTTTTGTCTTAAATTGTGTGTTTTTTAAAGGGTCTCTGAAGTCAGAGAACACAGCCTGATCAGAGTGCTGATGGCTGTCCTCGATTTAGCCACCAGCCCAGCCACACTCTATCACTGCACTATGTTCCCAGCCCTTTTTATAATTTATTTATTTACTTATTTTTTTAGTATCAGGGATTGAACCCATCCCCAACCTGTTTTATTTTTTTATTTTGAGGCAGGTTGAGTTCACTAAGTTGTTTTGGGCCTCGCTAAATTGTGGAGGCTGGCTTTGAACTGGCAGTCCTCCCGCCTCAACCTGCCCAGCAGATGGGATTACAGGTGTGCACCACTGCAGCCGGCTTTATTTCTTATTCTGAGACAGAGTCATCACTAAGTTGCCCTGGCTGGCCCCAAACTTTCCATCTCCTGCCTCAGCCTCCCAAGTTGCTGCGATGGCAGGTGTATGCCCCAATTCAGCCCGGCCTCACTCTTCACTGATGGCTGCCACTTTGAGATATCCCCTTCTTGGATTAGTCAGAGCTTCCATTTGCTCCTTTCTTACGTAAGCCTCTAATTGTTTTGTTTTCCCAAAAAGTTTTATGGGGAGCTTTTTTTCCGAGATGGGAAAAATCCCTATTGCATCATCCCCCTTTTCAGAGGGAGACACTTAGACCCCAGTGGGAAATTTACTTGGTGCTTAAAAGCTAAGGAGTAGCCCAGCTGGGGATAGAGTGAGCCCAGAAAGGCCTAGAAGGTAGAGCTTGTGCTGTGTGCTCATTCAGCACCCAAAGCACTTGGCTGTGCCAGGTGTTGGAAATGCAGAGGTGAGAAAAGCAGATGGGACCTGAGTTGTCCTCCAGGGTGGGGCAGGGCAGGGACCACAGGGACTGCTCAGCCTAGTCTTGAGAGGTCAGGCTTTGTGGGGAAAACTGCTCCAAGCTGAAATCTGAGGCCTGAGTCTAGTTGGGGAATAGCCGAGGGCACATGCAGACTCCTCCAGCACAGTGTGGTTGGGACCTGCAGTATCAGAGCGCACACGCAGCTCTCCAGGTCCCAGATACGAAGGAAGGTAGAGGTACACTCAGGTGTCTCATTCTCTTTGACCTTCAAATCTCACTGGACTCTCTTTTTTCAGAGCATATGACAATGTCCTCAAGGATGCCGTCACGGTCAAGAGCCAAGCCTTGGCCATGGTGCCCGGCACGCCCCCGGCCCCCACCCAAGTGCTGTTCCAGCCTCCTGCCTACCCTGCCCTCAGCCAGGCGACGACGACCCTGGCCCAGCTCCAGGCCCCCGTGCAGGACCTGTGCTTGGCCTACAGGGACTCACTGCAGGCCCACCGCTCAGGGAGCCTGCTCCCGGGAGGCACTGGCTCCTCCCTCCACACTCCTTACCCCACCCTCCAGCCCCTGGACATGTGTCCCATGCCTGTCCCCGCATCCCTTAGCATGCAGATGACCATTGCAGCCGAGCCCAGGCACTGCCTTGCTACCACCTACGGAAGCAGCTACTTCAGCGGGAGCCACTTGTTCCCTGCAGGCTGTTTTGACAGATAGGCCAACTTTGGGCCACAAGGGCGAGCCTCAAAGAGCCAGGCAGAGGAAGAGAACACCCCAGAGGAGAGCTGAGCCAGGTGAGGTGCCTGGAGGCCCTGCCCGAGAGCCCAGTGGACGTAAAAAGGGCTTGTTTTTTTGTTTGTTTGTTTTTTCCCTTTAAATAAAACTGACACAAGCAAAGCATTCAATGACATACCTCACCACCGAGAGCATTCCTCTGAAAATCCTCTCCCATGTGTGCCTGGGGTATAAAGAAGGCTCAGCGGCTGTTCCTCCAAGCAGGGGTCCAGTGAATCAAGAAAGACTTGGGAAGAGGCCAGAATACTAGCCCACAAGCACCTCCAGTTCGGGCCTCAGAGACTTCTTCGCTCTTAGCCGATGGCAGCCACGTCACTGACAAAGAAGGGGCGGCCTGGCGCCTTCTCAGGACCCTGAAGCCTGCCGTGGTGGGTGCTCCCCTCCTTTGGCTCCACTGAGAGGCCTGTGCATGTGGGCTGAGTGCCTCCTTGCAAGACCCAGCGAGTGGCTATCTCGCCTTTTGTTTTTGAACGTGAAGCTTTTTCCGGCCTTTTAGATACTTCACATGCTGCTGCTTCCCCAAGTGATCTAGCTTTCTGTTCCGCAAGATGTCGTGTTTACATACTACATCAGGGATTTTGTGATACTTGAAAAAAAAAAAATTCCTTAAGAGAAATGAAACAAGTTTAATTGCCACACTCTGCCTGTCCCCCGCAGACTGTCAGTTTTAACCCATCTTGGGATGGACCCGCAGTAGCACCAGAGCTCCCTTTTCAGAAGCACGCGATGGGTGAGAACCACCTCGAAGGCTCTCGGTCCCAGAAGATTCCATGTCTTGGATGCTGTAGAACTTTGATGACTACCCGGGGGCTGGAGGGGGAAAACGAAGGTGGACACCATCCCCACCTCCCTCCACCAGTTGCTTATGGTAAGTCAGGTGACACCAGCCCTGGCTTTGAGTTTGGCTAATAGCAAAGGATAAGAATGTGGAATGCTTGTTAATGCTGCCTGGATGGGGACATGGGGTGTATCTGTCACCATCGCTGGTAGGCAAGGGGTTGGTTGCATCAAAAACCAGTATTGGGGGATCTGCAGCAAGAGGGATCTCAGGAAGATTCTTGTAACCATGTGCAATATGTTTTTTATTCCGACTCCCAGCTTCTGCTCAGCATGTTTCTTTTGGTTTGTTGGTTTGTTGTCAGGGGACACACTGTTCGCCCGTCAGAACTGGGAGGTACAAAGGACGGAAGCAAATTGTGTTGTTTGGTTTGCTTTTTATTTTATTTTTTTTTAAAAGAGAAACCCATCTTGGTTTTCTTGACTCATTGGTGTTCTTGACTCTTGACTCACTGTCTAGGAGACCGTGACGGGGGCCGCCAGGAAGGCGGCCGAGGGCTGCTGAGTCAGCTCCAGAGTTTTTTGGAGCAGATGAAAGTCTCAGCGTGGAAATGGAAAAGAGACGGGCTGTGGCTGAAGCACTGCCGCCCCGCCACACTAGCATAGGAACTGCAGGGTCCTTTGTCAGTCTCCTTCCCCTTGCTGACTCCTCCTATTTATGTGCGACTGGGTGGGACTCTGGGTTATTGTGTCTGTCTGTTGTAGGGCCGGGGGCTCCTGAGGGGCTACCCCAGCAGCCTGGCTCCCAGAAATAAGTGTCCCGCAATAAACATATCACCTGCGCTCCGTCTCTCTGTTGTCTTCCTGGGCTTCCCCTCTCAGGCCAGCCCTTTTCTCCCCAGTGGGCCATCGAGTGTCTCCTGGGATGAGCAGCAGGGTGATGGGGTATCAGGATTGGCAACAGCAAGACTGGCTTCTTTGGAGCTGGGTCCTGCCCTCTGAGCTGGAATTGGGCCTCCCTGGGGACACAGGCTGGGCAGAGAGGGTGTATGTATGACTTGACATCCCAGCTCGTGACTGTACCAGTCAGGGCTATCCAGGGGACAAACCAATAGGACACGGGGGAGAGATTTGCTTTAAGGAATTGGCTCATGCAACTGTGGGACTGGCATGTCTAAAATGTGGGGCAGCATGACAACAGGCTGAAGACTCAGGTAAGAGTCAACACTTCTGGCTGGGCATGTGGCTCAGGGACACAGTGACTGCCTCCCATGCACAAGGCCCTGAGTTCAATTCCAATATCACAAGAAGAAGAAGAAAAAGTAGATACTGCCATGGAGCCTAAAATCTAGCTCACATCAGGGGCTCAGGCATGATTTCTGTGTTGCGGTCTTGAGGCAAAATTCCACCCCTGGGAAACTTTAATCTCTGCCCAGAAGGTCTTTGGCTAGTGGAATGGGGCCCGCCCGTGTTATGGAGAGTCATCTATCTGCTCGACTGTGAATGTCGGGCACGTCTAAAACAACACCTCCCATAGCAGCATCTTCGAAAGTGTTTTATCAAGTCACTGAGCACCGTAGCCTAACCGAGTTGACATATAAAATTAACAATCGTAACCACTTTTTAGCCGTTGGAAGGTCGTTGACCAACTTCCCTGAGCCTCTGTCTTCTTACCTGTTAAAGTGGGGGCAGCAACAGCCCTTGCCTCAGGCTTCTCACGAAGATCAAACACCGTGATGTACATGAAGGCTGGCATCTCAAGAAAAAGGGGCAATTATCGTGTCTCTAAACACAAGATCACTGTAAGATGCACCATTATCTATGTACCAGTGCGTTTATTGTGTTGGGAGGGCCTGGGTTTGTATTTTTGAGACAGGATCTAATTATGTTGCTCAGGCTAGTCCTGGGCTCAAATGACCAAACATAGCTGAGACTACAGGTGTGCACCACTATGCCCAACTAAGAACTAAAGCCAAAAGCCAGGTGTGGTAATCCCATCAGCCCCGGAGGCCGAGGTAAGAGGATTGCAAGTTCAAAGCCATCCTCAGCAACTTAACAAGGCCCTAAGAAACTTAGACCCTGTGTCAAAATAAAATATAAAAAAGGGCTGGAGGTAGGGCTCAGTAGTTAAGTGCCCCTGGATTCAATCCCTGGTACCAAACAATAAGAAAAGAAAAAGTCTTGCCAAGCCCTGGGGATGTAGCCCAGCAGTAGAGTGCCTACTTGCCCAGTATTTCTGAGGACCTGAGTTGCATCCCCAGCATCACAAAAAGAAAAGAAAAAAATCCCCATCAACTTAATGACAGGGCTTAAAATGCCATGGATTCTATTCAGGAGTGTTTAAAAATGTCAAACTGTGTAGGTAGAACCTCGGAAGACACATCCACTGTCATAAAGGATATCAGATTCCTGCCCTTCCCTGAAGGGCTCTCTCTGAGGCCTGTCCTGCTGTCCGCCACTGGGTTCCAGCAAGAGAACCACCCTGAGAGCTGGTGTCAATGGTGCTTCGAGGGATTTGCCAAGCAAATGTGCCTTTGGTTGGGGTGGGGAGGCATGGGGAGATGTGTGGAAGTCCCAGGAAGGGTGCTTGGGGACCATGTCTATTGGCAGGTGGAGTTGGGAACTGATCTCTCTGTGTACAAGGCCCGGTGAAGCAGGAGGCTCTGGGTTTGGGAAGATTAGAGACAAGTCTCGTTTACCAAGAGCATCTGCCTCACTGTGGGCAAATCCCCTCCCTCTTTGGGCTTCGGTTCCCCACCTGTTTCCATGGAGATGGTTGAATTGATGGCTGAGTTTGAAATTGGGGGGGTGGGGGGGTGGGAGATGGGCTGCAGAGTCCCTGGCCCCTGCCTTCAGCTGGAGGGATTTCTCCCACACATGTGTGTTCCATTCAACATTTGGTCGATTCCCATGCTGGGGGTGGGTGGCTAGGAAAGGTTTTTTTTTTTTTTTTTTTTTTTTTTAGTAACAGCGACGGTCTTAAAGGCCCTCCCAAGGGCTGACATCTGGCTGAATCCAGAGGTTTTCAAACCTGAGCAAGCTGAAGAATGAGTGGCCTGGAGACCTAGAGGGGTGGCATCCTGGAATCTGCATTTTTAACCATCTTCCTGGTGACTTGAGTACAGCATTTCCTTGAAGAAGGAAAGAAGGGTTAAACGTGCAGGACACAGATTCCATGCTCACAGGAAGAGGGCAAGGAAACGACATCTCAACCCAAGCTCAGCCATCTGAGCTCTCAGCCTCGGCTTTATCTTGCACTTAACACTCTTCCTTCTCTTAAGTATTTCTTTCACTGAGCTGTGTGAAGGGTTGGGAGACTCAGGCTCCTTTTCCAATGAGAACTTGCTTCTATCCAGGTTAACATTTGCAAGTGACCAGACTAGGGGTAAGGCCAGGCTTCCAGTGCCTCTGGCCCTTGAGTTTTCAGGCCATCTCTTCAAAACTGTTTCCTCTCTGGTCTGCTCTTCTCCCTTAATCCTTGTGGGACTGGCTCCTTACCTTTCATAGCAGTGATTCTCAGCTAGAGTCACTGTTGTGACCCAGGGAACATTTGGCAGTGTCTAGAGATATGATATATTCAATTGCAAGAGGAAATGGTCTTGGCATCCAGGGGGCAGAGATAAGGGGTGCTGCTTAACATAATTAAATGCACAGGACAAAGAAATGATCTGGCCTGGCACAGCGGCACACTCTTGTCACCCCAGCGGCTTGGGAGGCTAAAACAGGAAGATCACAAGTTCAAAGCCAGCCTCAGCAAAAGTGAAGCACTAAGCAACTTAGTGAGATCCTGTATCTAAATAAAATACAAAGTAGTGCTGGAGATGTGGCTCAGTGAGTGAGTACCCCTGAGTTTAATCCCAAGCCCCCTGCTCCCCCCACAAAAAAAAAAAGAAATGATCTGGCTGCCCCCCCCCCATGTGATGGTACACACCTGGAGAGCCGCAGTGAATAAGGGAGTCAGTTCAAGCTTCTGCAATCTGAATCGGCCTTGCCACCCCACAGGGCCTGGTGCAAGGGTTTGGAATGAGAGAGAAGACCCACAGTGGCCCAGCAGCCCATCCTCTGTGGGAGCTCCCCATGCACTGGAGGAAGTTGGTGCCCTGGCAGAGTGGGAGTGATGACCTCCAAGAGTCAGGGTGAAGGTCATGAGGAGCCTGGGGTTAAGGGCGCCTGCTGTTGAGGTGTGGGGGATGGTTGGTATACCTATTAAGCTCTATCTGTGTAACTCCCCTGTGACCCAGGAGGGGACGGTTATATTAACCCATTTTACACACAGGAAAGATAAGGCTCAGCAAGGCCCAGGACTTGCCCACGTGGCTTACATGTTGGTGGAGGCACTCCCAACCCTTTAGTCTCACTGCCTTGGGATTGATGGGGAGGTGAGGGCGGCGGAGCGCATACCGAATCCATTAGGTAAATTACAGCTGTTCCCCCACCTACAGCTGCGGAGCCTGAAGCTCAGAGAAGTGAATGAACTTCCCCCAAGGTAACACCAGTACCATGTGACAGAAGAGGTATTAGAGTCCTGGCAATGTGACTGAGTCAAAGTTCCTAAGTAACCACTCATCTCTTCTGGCTCCCAGGAGGCCAGTGAAGTGGATTTGCTTTCCTCCAGCTCACTTTCTGCCACTTACCCCAGTGGAAACTAGCCTCCATCTGGGAGAGAAGCCCAGTCCTTTACTCTTAGTGCTCCGCCGCCCCCCCCTTTGCTGTGTGACCTTGGGTGAATTTCTTCCCTTCTCTGAGCCTTGGTTTTCCATATCGGAAATACACAGTTACAACTGGTTGAGAACTGAGATCCTGCTGTCCTAGGTTCTGCACTTCTGAGATTATGTGGCAACACGGGCTTAAGAGGTCCTTCCCTGCCAACAATTTGAATTTGTCCTTGAATAAATTATGGATATGAAATCTCTCTCTCCTTCCCTCCCCTTCTGCCTCTTCCTCTTCCCTGCCCTTCCTCCCTTCCTCCCTCTCTCCCTCACTCAATTTTCAGTCTAATTATGGGTAACTCTGTGTTATTTAGAGACTTATTATCCAAGCTCATTATGAGTAATTATTCAGTCTGGAGGGGAAACAGCAACACTGCTAGTTTAATTTAATGCTTACCTAGTTCACTTAATTAGCAATAAGTTTTGGCAAAACGTTGGAATTCGTGGGGTCCTGGCTGGGTGGGTGGGTGAGAGAGGCTGTTCTTGGAAAGATAAACAAGGTCTCAGGGTAGCCTGTGGGAGGAGGCGAGGGGAGGGTAGCCAGTAGGCTGGGCCTAGTGTCCGTCCAGGCTGCCCCAAGAGTGAAGGACTGCAGATTGCACAGGGCCAGAAGAAACTTAGGGGAGGAAGCTATGGGAGACCAACCTTACATGTGACTGAGTCACACTCCCCCGCTGGGTGCTGAGGTGCTCAGTCACAGAAATGTGGTCGGTGTCTCGTGCATGGGTGTGTCTTGCTACAGCCCCATGGGTGAGGTTACGTAACACTCACCTGTTCCTTTGTAATATCACCCCTTGCCCTGTTTAGGATAGAATCTTCCATGGAGGTGCCTTGTGTGTGTCCCCTTCTCTTACTGTGCCCTTGGGTGTGGCCTACCCAGGTATCAGTCAACCTGCTGACAGTGGACATCATGAAGATAGACTCAGCCCCCTGAAACCTGACCCCTTGCCTCATTTGAATCGCTTCTCCTCAATAAAAGGGGTCAGCGGGTGCTCTCACGCTCTCTCTTTCTGCGGACCCTTAAGGTCCCAAGGAGCCGTCACAGCGACCCCAAAGAAAAAGATATTTGTGTCTCTTGTGTGGTTATTTCGTGCAGCCCAGTTTAACTGGAGTGACCCCTGAGCCTTGTAGTCGAAAGAACAGAAACCCGGCAGGAAACACTTATTAAGCACCTACTGTGTGCTGGGCAAAGCTTATTCCTTATTCCCTGAGTATAGAACTTGTACATTCAGGATAATTTCAGTTCGCCTGCCTTTGAAAATTTGCAGTATGTTCTCTTTTCTGTGTGTGTGTGTGTGTGTGTGTGTACATACTGGGGATTGAATCCACGGGTGCTTTACCACTGAGCTACATCCCCAGCCCTTTTTATTTTATTTATTTATTTTTATTTTGAGACAGGGACTTTCTAAGTTACTTAGGGCCTCACTAAGTTGCTAAGGCTGTCCTTGAACTCCTCCCCCCTCAGCCTCCAGAGTCACTAGGATTACAAGCACGGTGCCCAGCTTCCTTTTAGTAATCTTAGAATAATTTTGACTGGTTAGGGGAAAGGATTTCCTGTCGATTTTACCATGTCTTTTACCTCTCTCACAAGGGAAGTGCCACACTCAGGGCTTTGGGCAGATAACAAGATACACCTAGAAGTTCACATTGCTTGGCTGTGACTTTTACGAATAGTTTTCCTCTACCTATGGCAAATGATATTGACTGTCCACCTATGGAAGTGACCTAAAACTTTCCATGATAGTAAGAATAAGTGAACTGTCATACAGAAAAATATTGGGTGAAAAGAAGTCAGGTTGATACCCAGATGTGGCAGACGCTTCCAAGGAGAAAGGAGATGAAAACAGGGCTGTTCGGTGCTCTGGGTTAGGGATCGTCAAGCCAGGAACAAGCAGGCCACCCTTCTCCACCCCTGTGCCCTGGCAGGCCCGGTTTCCCATCAGTCATAGGACATCTGCCAAACCTAAATGCTGCCTCGGAAGCCTCAACCCAAGGCTCCAGGGCCTGCCAAAGGAACAGAGTGGGCCTCCCGATCCCTTCCCCAGCCTCTCCTAGCTCCTCCCAGGGGCCCCGCCCCAGCCCAAGACCTCCAGTCCCTCCAGCCACTCCACTGCCCTTCGCCATCTCCTGGACTGTCATTTCCTTTCAACCCCTCATGGTTCTCCTGAGGCCTAAAGAGATGACTCCACAGCCCAGACGGAACCCTTCCCCAGGATAAGCCCTGGTGCTTGCACCCTGGGGTCTGCCCTGCCTTGGAGACTGGGCACTTCCTGAAGGAATGTCTGCCCCCCTCACCCTGCACCCAGAGTGCTCAGATGCTTATCTTGTGACCCATCTGAAAGTCCCAAGGAGCCTTTACTGTACATACTTGTCATCCCAGCTACTTGGGAGACTGAGGCAGGAAGATTTGAGACCAACCTTAGCAACACAGCAAGACCCCATCTCTGTTTCCTGGAGAGGAGGGCAGGGCGGGGGAGCCCAGAAGCGTGTCACCATGGACTCCCTGTGGCTTCTCCCAGGGCAGGAGCATTACAGTTCCTGTTCATGGTCCCCTCTGTCAGCATGAAGAGGATTCCACTGGGGTCTCAAGGCCAATGCCTGGCCCATGCAATCATCCTTGGGGGCTTTCCCACCCCCACCCAGCCAGAGGCTGTCCCAAGACACCAGGAAACAAAGAGTTTCTGCAGTGAGCAGTATCTGCTCTCATTCAGTTTTATTGGTGGGTTTTGTAGCTTCCCGGAACCCCGTACAATGGCTCAGGCCACCCTCTTGCTCACGCGCTCATAAGTCACACCGCCAACGGTGGAGATCTGAAAGAAGCAGCCAGAACAGAGGGTGTCAGTGCAGTGACAGAGGCCGTCCACCATGGGGCACAACTGAAGGAAGACCGGCCTCCGGCACCACCCTGAGTAGACAGGGCAGGCACCACTTGGCTGGGTCTTAGGTGCCCAATCTGTTGCAGGAATCACTGTGCAAGGTCAAGGTGGCAAACAGGTGTAAGGGGTGACGCGCTGGGTGCTAACCTGTCACCTCTGTTCACTTCCTCTCACCCACCCTGGCAATTCCCCTGCAGGATTCCATTGACTCTCCCAGCAGCCCTGGGAGGTCGCCCTGTTGCACAGGGGAGGAAACTGCAGGCTTGAGAGCTTGGGAGATGGTTTCTGTTCTTGGGCACAAGCCTGCCTCTCGCTCTCACGCCCTGTGCTCTCCCTGTGCACTTCACAGGCTGAGGAATTTTGCTTCTGGGAATCAGGACCCCCTGGCTGACATTTCATGTAAAAAATGTACCAGAGCATTCACCAGATCCTCCAAGAGACCATTTTCACCCAAGGGAAGAGGGATACTCACTTCCTTTTATACTTGTGTATACACTATACATCTATTCAGTTATTTTTTAAAAAGTAAAAATGAAGGGAAAGAGAAGACCTATTGGCCTGGAAAACAGCCTAGTCTAGACACTGAGGGATGGGATTCGCCTCTGCCACTGTTAGCTGTGTGGCCTTGGGAAAGTCACCTGCTGTCTCTGAGCCTGCCTGGTAAAGCTTCTTTGTAAAACAGGAATAATGGAAGGCACTGAGCCTCTTAGGCACATTCGTCTTTATATTAATGCCCCCATCCCAATTCATAGTTAAGACCCCAGTCCCCAGTGTGAGGACATTTGAAGCCCGACCTTGAGGAGGTAACTGGGTTACAAGGATGGGGCCTCCTGATGGGAATATTGGCTTCCTAAGAAGAGACCAGAGACAACCTCTCTGTCTGCACTTGAGGAAAACAGGAAGAGTGCCCACACCAGCCCCTAACAGTGCCGCCCCTTGATCTGAGACTCCCCAGCCTCCAAAATGGGGAAATTAAGCCACCTAAGCTAGGACAGGCGGTTCACTCCCTCCCTCCCCATCAGGCTCCAGAAGAGAGCGGTCGCAAAACAAGGGAAAGAGAGAGAGATCAGAAAGGGGCCGAGGGGAGGTAGGTGTCCAGCCCTGCCTCCCTCATCAGTGCCCTTCTGGAGAGTTCTTCCTAGACCTACGCTGGACGATTTCTCTTCCCTTTAACCTCATTTCTTCTCCCTAGGGAAAACTCAGGGGACCAGGGAGAAGAGGCAGAGGGAAGGCCAGGGCTCTCCCAAGCAGCACTTCTGACCGGGACTAGGCTTGGAGAGTGTGGGAGAGGCCAGTCCACAAAGACAGGTGGTCAGACCTGCCAGCATTAAAAAAAAATTTTCTAAGTAATTGCCAACATTTAACAGTGTGGGGAGAGACAAATGCAAACTTCTAGCTTCTTTTGAAAAATCAGAAGATGTGGCAGGAAGGGCCTGAAGACCCCTGTGGGAAGGGACTGAAATCCCAGCTGCCCCAGAGAGGCCCACCTGCACCACCTCCTTCATTTACATTCTGGGAAGGGTCCCTGGGAGCCAGCAGACGTGTGCCCCTCACAAGTGGGGCGCTGGAGTCAGCTGTGCTCCCCTGGAATCCCAGCTTTGTCATCAAAGCTACATGCCTTCCTGCGGATCCCTTAGCTTCCCTGTGAAATGGAGATAAAAATCCGCCTCTGACAGAGGGTGTGTTCAGATCAAAGGAGAAATGTGTACCCTGTGCTAGGGAAGTTCCAGCTGCCCACAGGCTGACCTTGAGGGGGGCGGTGACTGGGGGTCTGATGAATCAGTCCCCGAATCCAAGGGTCTGATACTCACCTCCACCAGCTTGTCACCCACCACCTCCGAGGTGTGGTGATAGTTGGGGAAGTCCACCACCAGCTTATTGCCCTCCATCTGCACGGTAGCCTGGAAGGGAAACAGAACCTGAGCCACAAGAACCCTCCAAGCAGCTCAGCCCAGCCCCTCCAGGGAGGAAGAGCCCCCAGCAGCCCAGCGATCCTCTCTAGGAGTCTGCCTGGACACAGGCAGCCGCAGACTTCCAAAGACAGAAATGACCTTGAGCAACTCCCTTAACCTCTCCATGCCTCAATTTACCCATCACTCAAATGGAGCAAGTGGCTACCTATCTCATAGGGTTGCTGGAAAGAATAAATGATAATGGGGACTAGGTAGAGGGAGCTCAGTGGTAGAGCATTGGCTTAGCCTGTGTAAGGCTCTAGGTTTAGTTCTTACACCAAAAAATATTATTAAATAACAATCTATGCAAAGTACTTAGAACAGTGCCTGGTGCACGGTGTAGTTAAGTGTACAGAGTTAGCCATGGAGCAATATTATCCAAGGAATTTGATTACTAGCATTGTAGTCATTACAATCTAAATATCCAGCCTATTTTATCCACCAGTCAATACCTAAATACATATCAATGGGGGAGTGGTTAAAGAAATTAGATTTTCTGTACTCTAGGATAATGTGCTACTATGAAAAAGAATAAAAATAATCAATATGCTGACTCACAGAGGTTCTCTCCCAGGAGAGGTTAATTTTTTTAAAAAAAACCTAAATGGGTCTGGGGCTAGAAATCAGTGATAGAGCCCCTGTTTCGCATGCACAAGGCCCTCACTTGCAGCTCTACCCCCTGCAGCAGCCTGTGGTAGTCTAAACTGGGCTCAACCCCCAGCAAGTTAAAAAAAAATAAAAAACAGGGCTGAGGTTGTGGCTCAGCGGTAGAGCACTCGCCTAGCATGTGCGAGGCCCTGGTTCCATCCTCAGCACCACAAAAAAATAAAAAATAGAAGTGGCAGTACGTGAACATCACGGTGACTTACTCTCCACCTTGGCAGCCTGAGGAGCAGGGTACTCTCATGCTCATGTGGAGGTCTACCGAGAGGACCCAGAAGGGGTGGAAGGCCTAAGGGACCAGCCCTGGTAGGATGGGGACAGCCAGCCACTTTCCCTTCTCTGCTACCCATGATTGATTACAGCTTCAAACCTGGGTGAGAGGGACTCTGGGGAAGCCCTGCTCTAGATTAGGGGGCAGCATAATAAGGGACCACAGAGGGTCGAGCAGGGATTTGTCAAGATGCCCAGAATTCTGTCTGAATGAACCTCCTGGCTGAATGCTTTAGTGACCTGGCAGCTCCGTGTCCCACCGGGGACTCGTGTGCACCTGCAGAAGCAGTGCCCTCTGCAGATAGCTTAACCATTGGCACACAGCACAGTTCAGGCCGCTGTCCTGTGGCCACTTACTGGATGCAGAGTCTTAGGTCCATCGTGTGGCCTCCCTGAGCCTCATTTCTTTGCCTCTAAAACAAGAATAAATTACTGACCTCTCAGCCCAGCTTTCACTGTGTGTCAGGCACCCCGCAGGTGCTTCTGTGCATCATGGAGCTGACTTTTCTCCATGGCTCTTTGGATCAAGGACCACACCTGGTGCCATGTCCTAGATATCTGAGGCTCAGGGAAGTGAAAAGAGTTGCCCAAGACCCCACCCCACGGTCGCCCATGAGAGATGCAGCTTCCAATCTTGCTGATGTGGACAACAGGGCCTGGGCTCCCATATCTCTCTGCTACACTGAAAGGCAGCTTCACAAAACAGCCATGCTCTCTGGAGTCAGACCACCTAGGTGTGGAGGCCTACCCTTGCTGTGTGACCAGGGACAAGCTATTTAATCCCAGGACTCAGCTCCTGGGGAGAGCCATTGTAGGAACTTCATAGGATTAACAAAGCTAAGAGGTATGAACTATTCAACCAGCTTCTAGGTTATGTTATATTAGGTGCTCAGGAAGTGTTAGCTAATTTTATGTTCACTATAGTGTCCATTATTGACAACGGACATTACACACCAGGAGTGTTGTTAAATTCTCAGGTAATTGGAGCTCTTAATGCTGGTGGCCACACTGTAGAGAGACGTCTCAGTCCGAGAAACATGGAGGCCCCATTTGAGATGGAGAAAGCCAGAGGGTGGGGAAGCAGGAAAGGGTGGCTAGAGGCCTCTCACCTTGAACTTCTTGCCACCCATGGTCTGTATCTCACTTTCCTTGCCGATGGTGAATTTGTTGGTCATGATGTGGCCCCCAGAGTAGGACTGGGCCCAGATGAAGTCCTGCCCGTTCTGCTGTATCTCCGTGATGGTCTTGAAGTTGCGAGCCTTCTCGATCACCTCGCCGGATTGACCTGGGCCGGGTGACAAAGAGAGGGATCACCTAAGAACTGCTGTTTGGAGCCCTGTGGTTTGGGGCTAGAGCTTTTCCTCCCAGTGGCAGGCCAGCCTGCAGGTGAAGAGCACAGTGACAGAACATGCCTTCAAAGCCCTACTGTGCCATGAGCCATGTGGCTGAGACATGTGGCCACCTCTCTGTACCTACATGCTTTTATCCAGGCAATGAGGATCATCAGACTGACCTCAGGCTGGGGATGTCACTCAAGTGGTACAGGGCTTGCTTAGTGTGTGATCCCTAAAAATCCTTAAAAACTAAAAATAGGGTCTACTTCACAGGGTTGAGGCAAGCATTCAATGTCATTGTGTCTTTTAAAGCTCCTGGCACTTATCTGTTCTTCATCAAAAATAGCTGATCTTCTAACAGTAATTATAAACATAATAGAAAATTGCCAAGTTCACAAAGTTCTAGAATGAATGGGACCTTCAAGATTGTCTTCTAATTCTCTTTTTTCTGTTTTGTTTTGTTTTTACTGGGAATTGAACCCGGGGGCACTTTTACCACTGAGCAACATCCCCAGCCCTTTTCATTTTGTATTTTGAGACAAGGTCTCACTAAGTTGTTGAGTGTCACTGGAATGACAGGTGCGAGCCACGGAACCTGGCTTGTCCTTCTAGTTTACATTTAAGAAAATGGAGACTTAAGCCAGGTGCCGTGGCTCATGCCTGTAATCTCAGCAGCTTGGGAGGCTGATGAAGGAGGATTGCAAGTTCAAAGCTAGTCCCAGCAACTTAGCAAGGTCCTAGGCAACTCAGTGAGACCCTGTCTCTAAACAAAATACAAAAAAAAGGGCTGGAGATGTGGCTCAGTGGGTAAGCACCTGCTGGGTTCAATCCCTAGTACCAAAGGAAAAAAAAATGGAGACTTAGTCAGGTATGGTGGCGCACACCCATCATCCCAGCAACTTGAGAAGCCAAGGCAGGAGGATTGCAAGTTTGAGGCCATCCTGGGTAACTTAGCAAGACCCTGTCTCAAAATAAACATAAAAAGGACTGGTGATGTGACTCGGTGGTAGAGCACCCCTGGGTTCAATGCCTGGTGCTGGGGGGCGGGTGGGGTGGGGTGAGGAGGAAGGGGCTTTCCAGTGTGGCAGAACAGGGTCTAGACCTGAGTGGGCTCACTTGCAGCTCTACCCCTTGCAGCAGGCTGTGGTAGGCTAAACTGAGTCACTGGTCTCTGCCAGGACTCTCCAGAGGGTTCTGCCTCCATAGGCCTCAGGGAACAAGGGCCCTGCAGGCAAGAGGTGACCACCAAGAGGTAGTGACAGATCCCCCAAGCTGTTCACCAAGTCTGGGCTGGTACACTGCCTCAGACTTAGATGGTGCCCCGAAACTTCCATGGGATTGTCCCTAGTTCCTCACATCAGCTCGTAAGTCAAGCCAGAAAGTATGAAACCCTGAATCTCTCTGCCCACCGCAGCACAGGTAGTGGCCTGTGTTTGTAGAATGACTGAGTGAAGGAGTGACTTATCCAACCTGGTCTCTATACTAATCTCCCTTTGTCGTCTCTCCCCAGGCAGGACATGACAGGGTCCTGGAAGCTAAAGAACTTTTCCACTGACTTGGGCAAGTCATGCTGAGTGTCCCCATAGGTGACATTGACATTGGGATAGCTCTTGCACACAGCAGGTGTCCAACAAATGTTTAAATGAATAAACACCAAGTTTCTCACTCACCAACAAAGCCTCCAAAAAATTACTAACTATGTGACCTTAGACTAGTTACTCAACTTCTCTGTGTCTCAAGTTTTCCATCCATAGAAATACTAATATTCTATAAGTATTTTAAAGTTAAAGGTTGTCTTATGGTTTCTGTTATCCTCAGAGACAGCACAGAGTAGTTGCTCTACAAATGTGTGAGTGAATGAGTAAGTGAATGGATGAAGTCCTATCCCGCTCTACCCAAGATTCTGGTTCTGGGCCCAAGTTGGCTGCCGCGGGCCAGCCCCGGGGAAGGTATACTCAGGAGGCCACTCACCCAGGCGCTTCATGAACTCGTCATAATTCTTCTCACTCTCCAACTCGAACTTGCCGCTGAAGGCCATGCTGCTGGGAGGTCTGAAAGCCAGACAGGAGGAGCAAGCAGAAGAGAGTCGATGCTGGGCCACCCGGAGTCTCAGCTTATAAATGCTCCCAGCTGCTGGGGCTCAGCCCCCAAATCACCCCATATCTCCCTCCTGACCCTGAAGAGGAAGCACTTGCTGCTTTATGATGTGGGCAGGGCCCGGAGGGACAGGGCCCTTCGGTTATTCACCTTGGGGAAATGCCAGGCGTCAGACATTGCCCTTCCCTGCAAGGCCAGGGTCAGGACTGCTGGAGGGTCTGAGGAGCCTGCCCCCTCTCTGTTTGTCCCTCCCTCCATTCACCCGTGTCCTGCCCTTCTGTCCTCCCATTTCCCCTTCACTCATTCACTCCCTCCTCATCGAATGAGGTGCACTGAGCACCTACTGTGTGTGGGGCCAGCCCTGAGCAGGCACAGATGACTGAGACACACACTTCTCTAGTCTAGCCCAGGGACAAGGCACAGGCCTGCAGAGCAGGATGTGAGGCATCCTGAGCAAGGAGCAGGTGTGTGGCCTGGGGCACGGGGAAGGAGTCCCAGTGTCCAGCCACGGGCTGGAGAACCTTTGGGGAGGAGGTGGCACTTGATACAGGGCTTGACAGGTGAATGGGATTTGGATGCAGAGAGAAGCTGCTGGAAGGTTAGAGGAGGCTGAACAAAGGGATATTCTAGAATGAGGGGACAGTGTGACAAAGATGGGAAGGGCCACAAAGAAAGGAAACAAGGAATCTGCAGCAAAGAGCACTGGAGGGGAACAGACAATAAGGATGCAGATGATGCAGCCAGAGGAGAGCAGAGCCAGGAACCAGGGCAGAGAGGGAGGGGGAGTGCCAGGGTGCCCTGAGGACCTCTGGGTGCCAGGCGCTAGACCACGAGTTCCACGAATTTCACTGTGTTCAAGCTTCATCGTGGGAAGGTGCTCCGGGCTCAGAACCTTGGCTACCAGTCCCTGTCCCATCTTCCAGGTGGGGCCTCCAGATCCTCAGTGGTAACTGTGCCCTGCCTGGCTGTGGCATGTTCCCTGGATCAAACGCAACAGGCAGGCGAAGTACAGGGCACTCGGCGAAGATTCGTGGCCTTCCTCCTTACCATCAATTAAGGAAACCTCAGCAAGTCTCTCTCCTTTTCCTGGGTCTTCTCTCCATGAACCCCTTCATTTCTATCCAGAGTAAGCTCCCCGGGGATACAGCTCAGTTGGTAGAGTGCTTGCCTTGCATACACAAGGCCCTGGGTTCAATCCCCAGCACCACACACAACAAAAATGTTGTCACCCAAAGTAGGCTCTACCAGACCTGGGGCTAAGCAGTTTCTGAATTTATTTGGGGGAAAAAGAAAGGATTTTGCCACACACAGTGACTGTGCCTTAAAAATAAATAAATAAATAGACAAATAAGTAAGTAAATAAATAAATAAATAAAAGGGCTGGGGATGTAGCTCTGTGGTGGGGCACTTGCCTAGCACACATGAGACCCCAGTCCTAAAAGGGAGTACTGCAGGATAAAATCATAATATGTGCAGCTTGTTTATTACACATTGGACACACTGTTGAGTGTTTAATGGTTTATGTGATTCAATCCTCAAAATGGCTCTGTGATATAGGGATTCTTATTGTTCCATTTTGCAAGAAGCAGACAGAAATTCAGAGAAGTGTAGCTGGGGTCGTGGGCAAGGAGTCACAGGATGCTCTTGCTGGCCTCTCTAGCCACCACTTCACTCCGTTTCCCATAGACCTCCTGCATGGGCACAGCTGTCCTCTCCTCAAGGGCCCCATATCTAAGGTCATCATCAAGAACAGGATGGGGCTGGGAATGTGGCTCAAGCGGTAGCACGCTCGCCTGGCATGCGTGCGGCCTGGGTTCGATCCTCAGCACCACATACAAACACAGATGTTGTGTCCACCAATAACTGAAATAAATAAATAAATATTAAAAATTCTCTCTCTCTCTCTCTCTCTCTCTCTCTCTCTCTCTCTCTCTCTCTTTAAAAAAAGAAAAAAAAAACAGGATGGAGTGGGGCGGGAGGTATTGGATTGGCAATGGGACACCTGGCTTCACCACACCCCTCCCCGCCTGAGGAGACGCCATGGGCATCTGACCTCCATCCTCCATCCACCCACACCTCCTTCCTTCACTCTCTTCCTGGGGTACAGGTGATGGCTCTGAGGTTCAATCAGAACCTCCCAGGAGGGGTAAATGAACTCAAGCTGCATCCGTATTGCAGTGAGGTTTTATGGGGCAATTGAACCAAGAGAGCAACTGTTCCCCAATAGAGATAAGAAGGGCCCCAAGGTTGATCCCTCTGGGTGCCACAACTTCCCCCCTGGACTCTGGCTCTGACCTCAAACAATCACCATTATCCTGTGAGTAATAACTAGATTAGGAGGTGGGACACAAGTGCTTGAGTCCTTGGTTAGAAAAGGACCTCTGGGCACCTTCCTCCTCTCCCACCCCAGGACCTTATAGTCTTACGTGGGCTAAGTGAATGGTCAGAGGTGTCAACTCCTTCATCAATTCCCTGTTTCTCTTTCCTTAACCAGGATTCTGAAATGTTCATTGGAGTTGATCCTTGAAAGTCAGGGCTTAGGAACTTGGTGGGCAATTGATTCCATCATGATTCTCCTAGTGCCACTCTCAAGGTGAGTCCAAGGTGAGGGCTAGGGGACACAGCTCAGTGGTGGAATGCTTGCCTAGTACACATGGGGCTCTGGTTGCAATTCCCAGTGGAAGAGAGAGAGAGAGAGAGAGAGAGAGAGAGAGAGAGAGAGAGAGAGCACATTGATGGGGAAGGAAATAGATCAAATTGTGTTATGTTCCTATATTAATATGTAACTACAGGGGCTGGGGTTGTGGCTCAGTAGTAGAGCCTAGCATGCATGAGGCACTGGGTTTGATCTTTAGCACCACATAAATATAAAAAAGAAAGATATTTTGTCCACCTAAAACTAAAAAATAAATATTAAAAAAATATAACTACAAATTCCACTATTTTGTATAATTATAATGCACTAATAATTTTTCTTTAAATGAATGTCTAGGCCGGAGAGCTCAGTGAACATATGATTAGCATCTGAAAGACCTTGGGCTTAGTCCTCAGTGCCTAAAATTTTAAAAAATAATTAAAAAAAAATCAGATGGGGCACAGTGATGCATGTCTGTAATCCTAGAGGCTTAGGAGGCTGAGGCAGAAGGATTGAAAGTTCAAAGCCAGCCTCAGCAACTTATCAAGGCCCTAAGTAATTCAGTGAGACCTTGTCTCTAAATAAAATTATTTTGAGGTTAAAAAAAAAAAAGGTTTATTGCTTTGCTAGCGAGGGAGAAACACAGGGGACTTGTGTTCAAAGGCTGTGATTCTGCCCATCATCAGGAACAGGGGGTTTTTAAAGAGGTGATTCAAAGGCTATATTCCACATATTGTCTGTTGGAGTAGTAATTCACTTGTTAATTTGGGAGATAGTTATTTCTGAGATCATAAATAAAATAATTTTTTAAAAAGGCTGGGGATGTGGCTTAGAGATTAAGTACCCCTGGTACCAAAAAGAAAAAGAAAAAGAAAATATATATATCAAAAGCTAAGAAATGCAGAGGTCCCTAAGAAAGTAAAGCTGGCTCTATTTTTACTCACAATAACTGGGGCCTATCCTAGCTCTTCCTGCCACTCACTGGTGGCACAGCCTTGGGCAAGTGATTTGTCTTCCTTTATCTCAGTTTTCTCATCTACATAATGGAGATAATAATACTGTCCACCTGAAAGGGATGTTATCAGTAATAAATAAGTTCATTTTGTTTTGTTTCTGTGGGGTTTTGTTTGTTTGTTTCGAACTGGGGATTCAGCCCAGGAGTGCTGTCCCACTGAGCTACATCTGCAGCCTGAGAAACTGAGATTACAGGCATGTGCCACCGCAGAAGGCTTAAATGAGTTCTTTCTTGTAAAGCACTTTTTACAGAGCCCAGCACGGGGCCTAACAGTATTAGATCAACAAGGAGGCAGGGTGGCTGTGCAGCCCAGACAGGGCTGTGTTGGATGGGCCAGCTTCACAGGGGTCAACATCTCCCTCATCTCCAAGTGTCAGGTGCCTCTGGGCTCAGTCCTCCTCCTTGACTTTGCTCTGAGTGCTCATTCCTGGATCCCATCCAGCCCAGAGCTTGAAATATCATCTAATGCCGGTGACTCCCAATCTTTTTTTTTTTTTTCTTCATCTTAGACCCCTCCTCTAGACTTGGGATATCCAACAGTCACAGCTCCACCCCTACCTCATGTCACCTCAAACTTCATTCACATCCATCCACGCCCCTGTCCTGCTGGCCTGGCACAGGCTGCCCCTCCTGTGGGCTTCTCCCTCCCAGTTGATGGGGGAAATAGTAGGAACCGAGATCTAACATGCATCGGCTCTGAGTGGAATCCTGTTCTAAATGCTTTACCTGCATTATCACACTATGCAGATGAAGAAATGGTCTCAGGAATACCACACCCAGCAGGCACAGGAGTGCATGCCTGTGATCCCAGAAACTCTGGAGGCTGAGGCATGGGGATGGTGAGTTCCACATAAGCCTCTACAACCTGGCGAGGCCCAAAGTACTTAGCAAAACCCTGTACCAAAATAAAACAAAAGAAGGCTAGGGATGTAGCTTAGTGGTTAATCACCCCTGGGTTCAAACCCTTGTATCAAAAAAAAAAAAAAAAAATGTCAAGGTGGAACATGAAGGCGAGAGTCTGGCTCCATGTTTATACTCATGTCTGTAACTAAATGCAACAATTTCATTAATATGTGGCCTCTAGCTTGATGAGGCCTCTGGAGACTGTTTGCTCCTTTCGTACTTACCAAAGGAGCCCATACTGCCGGGCACTGTAGTAAGCATTTGTTTGGCATCTCATTTAGTCCACACAAAAGCTTCTGAGGGCAGCCAGGTGTGGTGGCACATGCTTGTAGTCCCAGCAGCTCAGGAGCCTGAGGCAAGAAGATCACAAGTTCAAAGCCAGCCTCAGCAACTTAGGATCTGAGCAACCTAGGGAGATTCTGTCTCAAAATAAAAAATAAAAGTTGGGATGGTGCACACCTGGAATCCCAGCAGCTTGGGAGGCTGAGGCAGGAAGATCACAAGTTCAAAGCCAGCCTCAGCAACTCAGTGGCTGTTGCTTCCAATAGCTTCATCATAATCCACTGGAGGGAAATATCACATAACCCCCACATGGGAAAAATATTATTCAGGAACATGTATTCACGGCAATAGTATTATTTGAGGCAAGTAGGGCAGAGTCATAAACTAGTGGAGGATCGTGACCTCTGAGATGATGACCCCAGTGGGCAAGTCCTATAGCCACTGGGATTTCACTGGGAAGTCTTTGCTAGACAGGGAAAAATCTTAGTTTTATACTATATCTGTGACTCTATTTGTTTCACTCCCCACTTTTGAGCGAATGGAATTTTTGACTGGTGTAGACAAAGCCCTGGGGTTAGCAGAAACCCACTTGAACTAACCTAGGCCAAAATGGGAGATGGGTTAGGTTGGACCATGTGTAATTGCTGATCATTGACCTTTTTGATTTATAAAAACAATTTTATATGGTTCAACCTAATATGCTAAGGATATAGGAGCATCTTCGAAAATCCCAGAGTAGAGGTGGAGGAGGGAGGTTCCCAAGTTGGAGGCTTACTTCAGCAACTTAGTGAGGACCTATGCAACTTAGGAAGACTCTGTCTCAAAATTTTAAAAATAAATAAATAAAAGGTGCTGAGAATATAGCTTAGTTGCAAAATCACCCCTGGATTAAATCCCCCAGTGTCAAAAAATAAAAGAAAAGCCAAGTATAGAAAATGGAGTCTAGGTTCATGAGGAAGGAGAACTGGGAACTGTAAAGCTCAGGACCTCTGTCATATTCTCTCTCTCTCTCTGACTCTCTCTCTTTCTCTCTCTCTCCTTCGTTTTCTGTCTATTTCTTTCTCTGCTGCATGCAACATGGCTTCCTTGCAGGAAGAAAAGCCTCCGATTGGTCCATCCAGAGTCACGTGTTCTGTGCTCCCAGGGGCTGTGGGCAGGAAGGCTGAGCTCTTGGCTGCAGACTCTTAATTGCAAACAGTGAGAACTGATTTGAGCCGAAAAGAAATTTATTGAATCGGGATCAGTTAGATCACAGAATTTTCAGGCTTGAAAAATAAGCAGGGACAAGAGAGGACAAACAGCTAGAACCACAGTCACATGGCATAAAGGTTTTGTGGGGATCCAGCTGCCAGTACTAACAAAACCTGGACTGGACAGCTTGTACCTTATTAACAGTAGCACTATAAGCTGGCAACACAGCCACCATTCCCCAGGCACAGCGGTGGCCACCGCAGCCACCAGAAGATTCTCTCTGGGCCCTGATTATTTACATCATGAGCTACAGAGACTGAACCCAAGTGAAAAGCAGGCATCCTCAATGCCAGGGGTGATGGGACATGAGAATCTGCCTTTTCAGCTTAGGAAGTGGACCCTGCCTTCCATCAGGGTCCATGTAGTGGGAAATTCTTTAAATATCGGAGAGTGTCTGTAATCTTAGTGACAGAGGAGGCAGAGGAGGAAGGATTCCAAGTTTGAGGTCAGCCTCAGCAACTTGGTGGGACCCTGTCTCAAAAGAAAATAAAAAGGGCTGGGGAGGTAGCTCGGTGCTATAACACTTCCCCAGCATGTGTGAGACCCTGGGTTCCATCTCCAGGGCAGCAAACAAACAAACAACAATAAAAATAGCACAGAGCAAGCAGACAGCAAGAAGAGACCAACTCCCTGGAGCACAGCCATCTGGTCAACCACTTTCCACAGTCCTCCCTCCTAACACGCTGCACTCAAGATTCAAAGCCCCAGCTTGGCTACCTGCTGCCTGCATCACTTGTGCAAAACAATTAACCTCTGTGCCTAGCACATTGGAGCTCATAATTAAACCCACCTTAACGACTAGATAATGCAATACAGGAAGGCACTTAGCAAAAGGCTGGCACCTAGCAAACACAGAGGCTCCCCAACTTGCACTGGAGTTACATCCCAATACAGCCATCATGAATTGAAGCATTTAATACATCCTAGCTGCTGAATGAACATCCTAGCTTAGTCACACAGCACACCGGAGAGCACCACCGTCTCCCCTCACAATCACATAGCTGACCGGAAGCTGCCCAGCATCACAAAAGAGTCTTCGTACTGCATATCACTGACCAAATAGAAAATCAAAATTCAAAGCATGGTTTCCACTCAATGTCTATCATTTTGCAAGATCAATTGTCAAGTTCAAAAAGCATAAGTCAGACCTGTGTATGTCTCTCTGTATTTAATCAATACTAGCTACTAAAAAACTACCAGGAGACAAAGTCCAACTGTGCTTAGTAACGTGTATTGGCTCCTGGAGGTGGGTGAGGTGGCCCAGGTGGGTGGAGGGTCTTGATCAACAGGCCTAAGATGCACATGCAACAGGGAGTTCAAGGACTAGCTCTTGAAGGGACGTAGAGGTATTCCATCAGAAGAAAGCCAAATGAACACGGAAGGCAAGAACCTAAGTACCCACTATGATTTCTCAGCTTTCCCAGGACTGAAAAAGAAGATAACCTGCTCTCAAGTCTATAGGTCTAATCCCGACTGGGGCCAGAGCCTGGAAGGAGGAGGAGGAAGAGGGTGAGAGGCAGGACCAATAACATCTAAATCACCTTGACTCCAAACTTACATCCCAAACAGCCCCTGGCCCTTGGAAAATACTGCTTCGGGCCCAAATCAGATACCAAAAGGTCTTCTGTGCAGTGATTCATTGCCCCCTCTCCTGCCTCTGGCTAACCGTGATTAATTCCTGTGGCAGCCACGAGAATCATTCCTAATGAATTTCTAATGAACTCATTTGGTGTTAATGCGGTGTGTAATTCTGCAGGACACTCATTATAATTTAGCCTTATTAAGCCTCTAGTTATTGGGAACTACTATTGCTCTAAGCTCCTAAGCCAGGAGAAAAGTAATTATGTGGAGCAGGCAGATAAATTATGGAAAGGATTGGACATTCGGAAAAGGCCAAGAAGTAGCTGCCCCTATTTCTTTCTCCCAGGGGGTGCACTGTTCTACAAAGGAGAACAGGCTTTGAGCTGAGGCCAGACGCCCTCCCTGACTGCACATGCTGGAATGTAACAGCCGTGCATGCTGCACCTGCATGCTGGGATTTTTTTAGGGCCATCCAAAGGTGGATGGTCTACCCCACTGATCTGCTGCTTGGGTCTGAATTTCCACCAGGGGATGGATTCCTTCCATTCCTTCCCACCTGAGATGCTGTTCCAGATTGAAAGGTGATCCATGGCTCAACTCACAGATCACAAAGCAGTCACAGAGAGGTTATCTCATCTGATCAGTATAACATCCCAATTATTGTCATTAAATCCCTTTGACAGATAAGGAGATGGAGGTTCAGAGAGGTGAAGCACCTGAGTTACCAAGGTCATTGACTCCCAGAAACGAGGAACAGAACCCACACCTCCCAGCATCCAGGGGAATTTCCAGCTCAGTCCTCCTTAATTGCCTGCTAGGCTTCTCATGCATGTGTGACTCACACTTTCACTTAGAGATTGAGCCCTTTGTATGGAGGTGAGTGAGGCATTGACTCGATTTGTATATTATTCCATTTTCCATTGCTTTAACAAAATGCCTGAGGTGACTTAAAAAGAAAATAAGTTGAGCTGGGGATGTAGCTCAGTGGTAGAGTACTTGACCTAGCAACCCCTGCCCTCTATCACCCCCCCAACCAAAAAAGAAAAAAAAAAGAAAGAAAGAAAAGAAAAGAAGTTTCATTAGCTCACAGTTTTGGAAGCCAAAAGTCCAAACAACATGACACCAGCTCTTGCAATGGTCCCTAGCAGTGGCAAAAGGGAGGTCACATGGCAAGGCAGGAATCCAGAGAGCTGTGGGGTAAGGCTCCCCCTCTCATAACAACCACTTTCATAAGAACTAATTATAATCCAGGCACAGTGGTGCACACCTGTAACCCCAGCAACCTGGGAGGCTGAGACAGGAAGATCACCAGTTCAAAGTCAGCCTCAGCAACAGTGAGACCTTCAGTAACTCAGTGAGACCCTTTCTCAAAATCTTTATTTTATTTTGAGACACAGTCTCATTAAGTTGCCCAGGCTGGACTCACACTTGCCATCCTCCTGCCTCAACCTTTCCAGTAGCTGGGATTATAGGCAAATACCTCCACCTCTGGCTCTCAGCTGTGACTTTCTATGGTCGGCTCTGGGTCTGCTTGTGGAGAGATTTGTGGGTGTATATAGGTGGGAGACTTTGTTTATGGAAAGGAGGTATCAGTTGGACATATTGGCCTACAAATAAGAGAAAGAAAAGAAAGAAATCTTTCAAAAAATAAATAAAATTATTATCTCACATGACTGGAATTCCAGAGATGGGTGGGGGGAACTCTGGAGGTGGCTAAAAGTATGGCTCAATAGCATCACTGGGCTCTGAGTGACCATTACACCGTTCCTCTCTGATGGTCACAAAATGGCTGCAGCAATTCCATACTCCTTCCTCATTCACACACTACAGAATTCAGTGACAGGGTCTTTGATTCTTGGGTGACTTTCTTAAGAACTAGGAAGCTCTGAGCCAAATCCCCCCTGTCTTCTTGGCTAGAACTTGGACGTATAACCAAAGCTAAACCAATCTCTGTCAATCGGACTGAGATCACCAATGTTGGCTTTGACTAACCAGGATCCCATCTCTGAAGTTGGAGATGGAATGAGCCTTTCCATTAGTTAAGATCCAGCTCAGCAGCAGAGTGCTTGCCTGCCATTGGCCAATGGTGGGCATCTGCCAGGAAGAAAGATGGTGGGAGCAGATGTTGGATAGTGCCTACTATAAATGAATGTGCACGTGTGTGCAGCATGTCTTTTTGTAAGAATATGTGAGTTTGTATATATATGAACATAAGTAGGTGTATGATATGTGTAGAT